TCATCTTCTAGATCTTCTCTTGAGCTTTCCTCCTCATCGCTCTAGCCTCTGAGACCCAGATTCATAAAGATAACTAGCGAGTGGAAGGATGAGTCTCTGTCTTGGCTGTGAGAGCCTTTGGTTGGCAGAAGCCATTGTAAGGGATTGCCCCTCAGTGTGTCTGGGGTCCAAGGGCTAAAGAGGAAGTAAGAGCTTGGTAGGAGAGAAAAGGGCCAAGGCTGGGGAGAGTGGATGCTGAGATGTGAGAATGGCAGGAGTATAAATGTCTAAGGCTGTCTTGGAGAGGGCACTGACCGGGTATAAAGGTGGCAGATTGAGGATGAGGTGCCTCTCTACTGGCTGAAGGAAGGAGACAAGAGGTGTGCCCTGATTGAAGGAGTGGAGTTATCTCTCTGGCTGCATCTTTCTCCTGGGAAGGCACCTTAAAACACTTGCTCCTCCTCTCTCAACTCCACTCACCTAGACCTAGAAAAGCAGTCTCCACACTGGCATAGACACCCAACAGAGTCTCTGGACCAGGCTGGAAAAATGGTGACCTGGGAGATGAGACTCCTGTGGAGAAGGCAAACCACCATCTTTTCCTGGAGACTTTATCCTTCTGTTGAAACCAAGACCTTTCCTCTTTTCCACTGTTGAATCCCACTCCACCAATGGGGGCTTATTCTCTGACCACTCCCTGATTCTGTCCTTTTGTTCATCTTCCTTCCTCTCACACCAGGTGCTTGGGGACACAGGTGCAGAATGGGGAGGCTCAAGGCCTGGTCAGGAAGGTTCATCAAGAGGGAGGAAGACAGAGAAAGGACAAGAAGGAGCGGGGTGGGAGGCCAGTGGGGAGAGTGGAGCGGACACTGCCAATCCTGATCTTGCCTTCCCTTCCCCTGTCTCTGCCCCAGGACCTGCAGAGCCAGTGGCTTTGGGGAGAGGTGCTGGCTAAAGGCCTGGACACCCTGATCTTTGTAGGGGATGTCCTTAGGGCCTCATGCCCCAGTAGGAGCTCCGTACAAGGCATACTCCCTCACCGCTTGACTGGAGAGCTGGTGGTGGTGAGCCTGGCACAGATTTTTGATGAGGTCAGTGGGACCCAGACAAATCTAGCCCTAACTCTGGCACTGGTCTGTGTCCACTGGCTTGACCCTTCCCCAAGGATGTCCTTGTCTTGGCCCAGAGCACAGCAGCCATCCTGGCCTTGTCCTCTTCCACCTGGCACTGCCCCAGGTAGCTGCAGCCCAGCTGGTCCCCCTCCCTGAGTAGGGTGACACTAGGTAGGTTAATGAGGTAGATGGCTGACGAGACTTTAAGGAAGGAACAGAAGAGGGAGCATCCCTGCTCTGTATAACTTCTCATTAAGCCAACTTCAAACAGACCAATGAGGTTGGCTCAGCAACTCAGGAATCTGGGTCACTTGCCTCAGACGCTTCGCTTAAAGCTTCTTCAGTGGAGAGACCATGGGGCGGGAGGACAGTGGGAGGATGTCATGTGCCCTCCCACCCCTTGCCCTAGCATCTCTAGTCTCCTCCAGGTGAGCAGGCACAGTCATATAGACAAGGCTCTGGGCACGGTGGTTTTCTCCACCCTCCAGCCGGTACTCACCACGCTTGCTGTGACTCCCCCCCAGCGCCAGGATGCAGGGGGGCCAGGCAGCCTGGTGGTGGGTCTCTCAGTGACTGCTGGAGCAGCAGCATAGGTCAGAACCCCACCCATACCAAGCTGGGGGCTTGGGGAAGGCTGGGTTCTTCTCCTCAAGGGAGACACAGTTTTTTGTTTTTTTAAAGAAGCCAGGCTAATAGAAAACATTGAGTATGCTAATTATATGTAAATCAACACCAAAACTCAAGTGAGTTTTTGGGAGCTCATCCCTGGTTTACAAGTTTGGCATTCCATTAAGTGGAGAGGCTGGTACGAATGGCAATGGGCTGAACTTCAGTTCTCCAGGGTGTGGCTTGATGAGGAAGAAAGGAGAGAGGTTGGTAGCAATAAATAAGAAATTCTAACCATTTTCTTTGGTATCTTCAGGGGAACCAAATTAGCTGTCCTTGTCCCTCTGTCCCTTATTATAAGAGGCTGTAGGATCGGTGGTTAAGGATAGTCCCTTCCTATGACTAAAACCCTCATTAAATGGCTTCTGTTTACTAAGTGCTTTATTCTGTGTCAGACACTATATTAGGCCTTTACCTATGTTACCTTACTTGATGAGGCTCAGAGAGCTTACATTAATTTATTCAACAAATATTTATTTATTTATTACCTACTGGGTGTCCAGAATGGAGTTCGCAGTGAGGAACAATTTAGACACTTCCCTGTCCTCCTGGAATTTATATTTAATGGGGATAACTTCCCCACCTAGAAAATGGTAAAACCAAGATTTTTGTTGTTGCTGTTCTTCATGGATTTCTTATTTTTTTTAAAGATTTTATTTATTTATTTATAGACAGACAGAAAGGGAGAGAGAAAGATGGGGAGAAACATCAATGTGAGAGAGAAACACTGATTACGTGCCTCTCCTACACACCCCAACCAGGGACTGATCCAGAATCAAACTGGATACCTTTCACTTTGTAGGGTGACCCTCAGCCAACCAAGCCACGCCAGTTGGTAGTCTTAATGGATTTCAAGTGCACAGAATAGTTCTTTGTTCATGACATCCCCTTCTCCTGGGCCTATATCTGGCTCCCACTTACTTGGATTTTCTTTTTTTAGATGATCATTAATCATAATTATTAACCATTCACCCATAAGAGAAACTAGAACCTTAACAGTCACTTAGAGAAATCAACACAAAAAATACGTAAATATCCCACTCCATTCCCATGTCCCCCAACCCAATGTAAAAACTGTCCTGAATCCTGTGTTCATCAATTTTTGTTTTCTTTTTCGTGTAGTTTCATCTCATCTACAGTATTCTGAAAAGCATATTTTCTATTTTGATGTTTTTTAAACTCTATAAAGATGTTATTATGCCATATATAGTCTTCTGGAACTATTTCTTTCTTGGTATTTTATGTTAAAATTAATACCTATTATTGAGTGTCACTGTGGCGGTTCACTTATTTTGTCTGCTGAATGATTTTTCACTGTGTGAGCATACCGCTCTTTATTTATCTCTTCTCCTGTCAGTGGGCATTTGGCTCTAAACATTTCTATGCATGTTTCCTGACTGAGGTATAAAAAAGTTTCTCTTGGGTACCTAAGTGAAAAGCGAAATTCCTGGGTCAAAAAGTATGTGTTTACCTTTACAAGATGGTGCTATACTGTGTCCCAAAGTAATTACCCCAATTTACACTCCCACCAGAGATCATAACTAGTTCTGTCTGTCCCCTTGGATCCTCATCTAAACCTGAACCAAAATATCTGTTGCTAATGTCTCTGCTCTTAACTCCAGGATGTACCACGTCACTCCTGTCCAGGGGCCCTCATTCAGAAGCAACACGAACCGTGGGCGCTCCCTGGGTCCAGCAGTGATGGCTGGCACCCGGAAGCATCGCTGGGTAAGATGCAGCAAGGGTTACAGGGGCGGAAGTCAGGAGATTGACTTCTAAAACACAAGAGACTCCAAGGACCTCTGATGGGTTGCTCCTCTTTCATGAAATTGGAAGTTCCAGTCCCCTTGGGTGCCCTCTGACCTGTCCTCAGCAACCATTCCTGCATGCAGGGCGGTTAGATGGGCCCTCCGCCTTTGCTGCAAATCCTCCTGTCCATCCCCAAGCTGGATGTTGGAGGAGGGGAGGCGTCTAGGCCCTGATCTCTGTTCCTCCTCTCTCCCCACAGGTGTGCTGGATGGGACTGATCCAGGGCACCAATATTGCAGGCCTGTCCTTTCAATTTTTGTTCTCCTCTGGTGCTTCACGAGAAAAGCTTGTGGCCTTTACGACTTGCCACAGTGTGGAGAGAGCAGAGCCTACCAGTGTGTCCCCTTTTGCCTTCCCCACCATCACACAGCCCCCACTGTGAGGTTCCAAGCCTGAATGCAACTGAACCTGCTTCTGTGAGCTTTCCTTTCCCATCTTGTCCTTTTCTCTCCTTTGACCAGTCTGTTTCCACAGACACCCCCACCCCAACCTTTCCCAACAGATCAAGGTTTAGGGCTCCAGGGTCCTGGTCACAGCCACAGTACGAGGCATTAAACCCTCTCATTGCTCCATAGTCATGGATCAGTTTCTGTCCTTTCAGTGTCTCCTGTTAGGAACTTGTGAGTTAGGGAAGATGCAGTGCGAGCTGATCCTGAGATAGGACCCTTTCCCCCTCCCTAGCCCTCTAACCCTGCTCCCAGCCTATCCAGGGGAGAGAGCTTCTTCCCTCTATCTGTCTCTGTGGCTTAAAAGGTCAGGCTGAGGGCTGGGAAAGGGAGGTGTCGGCATGGATTGGGGGTAGGAAACCCAGGCTCAGAGAAAGCCAGACGCAGCAGAACTATTCTTGTCCCAGAGCTGCAGGGTCCACAGATTCCAGCCCAAAACAGCCAATGGGAGAAGGCCCTCTAATCCCAGAGGACTAAAGAATTCTCCAGTTATCCGGCATCGCTGCTGGACCCCATTCCGGCCCCCATCCCCACTCCCTTACTCCTGGCTGCTCCGGGGAACCTGGAGGCCCCCAGGAGCACGGTCTCAGGCTCCATAAAGTGAACTCATCTGGGTTGACCTTTCAAGCAGAGTCGAGGAATGTCCTAATATAGATGTTAATCAGGACTATGAACCCCAACTTTGACATCAAAAGAAAGGGACTCTCCCAGTCCCTCTGTTCTCGGTGCCTTCCTTTCAGAGTCCCCACCTTTACACCCATGACTCTGCTCATCTCCCAGTCGAGGAGGGAGGGAGAAATCCAGCAGCTTTCTCAGAGGCATGAGTGTGGGCCACGCCCTCCGCAGCCGTGAAGGGGTTAAAAGCCCAGGCCAGCCTCCACAGCCTGCCCCACCCAGGGATTAAGAATCCTCTATAAAGGGGACTGTCCACCCAGATCAGGCCAGGGGAGGGATCAGGGACCCAGGCATTGTGGCCATCCCCCCCGCCATGTGGGAGCTGCAGTCAGCCTCCTTCTGGAGGGCCATATTTGCTGAGTTCTTCGCCACCCTCTTCTATGTCTTCTTCGGGCTGGGGGCCTCACTGCGCTGGGCGCCGGGACCCCTGCATGTCCTGCAGGTGGCTCTGGCCTTTGGCCTGGCCCTGGCTACTCTGGTGCAGGCTGTGGGCCACATCAGTGGGGCCCATGTCAATCCTGCTGTCACTTTTGCCTTCCTTGTGGGCTCCCAGATGTCCCTGCTCCGTGCCTCCTGCTATATGGCAGCCCAACTCCTGGGAGCCGTGGCTGGGGCCGCCGTGCTGTATAGCGTTACGCCCCCTGCCGTCCGAGGAAACCTAGCACTTAACACGGTAACGCTCAACTGAGTGGGGCTGAGGGAACCTGGCAGTGCCCTGACACCCTGCCTGGGGCGGGTGGATCAGTACCCCAGGGGTAGAGGACATTTCGTGTGTCTGTGTGTCTGTGTGTGTTTCAAGGTGGGGTAGGTCAGGAGATGCTTTGGAAGGATGAGGAAGGCATAGAGCCCTGGACTGAGAATCAAGAACCCTCAGTTCTGGTCCCAGCTTTCCTTCCCTTGCAGGTTCTTGAGGAAACTTGTTTTACCTATGGGACTTCAGTTTCTGCATCCACAAAACTGGGTGCAGTTATTTCCAACATTATGGGAAATTAAGAAACAAATACAGTTACTATGAAAAGGGTTGTATTATCCTTCACCTCCAGGCAACTGATGCCCTAAGGAGGGGGTGGGGTCTTGCCTGGGGAATCCGGGGAATCTTGAGAAGGTAGCACTGTGTCAGCCCTAAAGAGCCGCCTCTCTTCTTCTTCCTTTGCCTAGTTGCACCCGGGGGTGAGTGTGGGCCAGGCCACCACCGTAGAGATCTTCCTGACACTGCAGTTTGTGCTCTGCATCTTTGCGACCTATGACGAGAGGCGGAATGGCCGCCTGGGCTCGGTGGCCCTGGCCGTTGGCTTCTCCCTCACCCTGGGGCACCTCTTTGGGGTAAGTAAGAGAGGGGAGCAACTTCTCATTTAAGGATTCCATGGCCCCAAACCTTTCCCAATTAAAAAAAAAAAGTGTTTTAAAGATTTTATTTATTTATTTTTAGGGAGGGGAAGAGAGGGAAAAGGAAAGGGCAAGAAATATCAGTGTGTGGTTGTATTTCACGTGCCCTCTGCTGGGGGTCTGATCTGCAACCCAGACATGTGCCCTGCACTGGGAATCAAACTAGTGACTCTTTGGCTTGCAGGCCAGCGCTCAATCCACTGAGCCACACCAACCAGGCCATCTTTCCCAACTTTTAAGGCTTCTTCCCACCTACCTGGCAATCAAACATGAACACTATCCACCTCCCTCTGTTATCAGTCAGCACAGAGGAATTAACCCTTCTTACTCGCTCTTGTGACTGCTGTATCTGGTCTTTCTTGAACCCAAGGTGGAAATGCATGCATCGTGGGTAGATGTGGGCTTAGCCATGGATCCATAGTCTGTCCCCAGATGGAGCATCAGTGGCTTCACTCCAATGTGGGACTCCCATGCAATTGTCCTTCCCCACTTGCTGCTGGCTGGAGGCATGGGCCCCACTGATGTGGCCCACAGCCTGCACCAGAGTAGCCAGGGCCAGGCCAAAGGCCAGAGCCACCTGCAGGACATGCAGGGGTCCCGGCGCCCAGCGCAGTGAGGCCCCCAGCCCGAAGAAGACATAGAAGAGGGTGGCGAAGAACTCAGCAAATATGGCCCTCCAGAAGGAGGCTGACTGCAGCTCCCACATGGCGGGGGGGATGGCCACAATGCCTGGGTCCCTGATCCCTCCCCTGGCCTGATCTGGGTGGACAGTCCTCCAAGGTGCCAGGCCTCATGGGCATGTGGGCTGCGGGGAGAGAAGCTGGTTGGAATGGAGGGAAGTTTCTCAGTTACAACTGTGTCTTTTGCAGATGTATTATACTGGTGCAGGCATGAACCCTGCTCGCTCCTTTGCTCCTGCCATTCTGACCAGAAACTTCACCAACCACTGGGTGAGTGAGGGGAGAGAAGCAAGATGCTGAAGCCCTCCTGGATGGGTGTGGACCACAGGTTCTGGGTTTGGACCGCAGGTTCCAGGTTCGGTTCCTGCTTTCCATCTGGATGTGCTGATTGCTCTACCAGCACTCAGCTGAGTGGGCTCTCAGGGAGATACCTGTGTAAGCAGGATTCATTATTTTGCTAGAAAGAGAGGCTCGTGCTCATGTTGTTCCTTCACTGGTTTGTCAGAGAATTTTACTAAGTATCCACTGGATTCCAAAACTAGAGCTGTCAGGACAGACAACACAACAGGAAGACAACTCTTCTACTCCCAGTGGTCAGGATGTGTATGACCACAGATGGGCCTGGGCCTCATCCAGCTCTAGCACTTTATTAGCCTCGTGCGTGACCATGGCGAGACCGCAATCATTCTGCACCTCAGTTTCCTAACTATTAAACGAGGTGTTATGAGAAGTTAGAGTGCAAGTTGTATGTGAGAAATATTTAGCACAAAATCTGGTATGGAATACGTCCTCAATAAAAATTGGCTGTTTGTGTTGTTTGGCTATATGCCAGACAAAGCGTATAAAAATAATTCAAAAACATTTTCAGGCTGCTCTGTTTGGGGAGTAGCCCACCTCTGTCTCACTGCTTCACTAATAAATGCTTTCACTTTAAAATCTAAACAAAGAAATTTTTTTTTACAGTACACCCATTTCCATGACCGTATTATTCACAAGAGCCAGAGGGTGGAATCAACGCAAGGGTCCCTCACAGATCAATGAATAAATGAAATGTAGTATATACACATAATGGAATAGTACTCAGCCTAAAAAGAGAAGGAAATCCTGTCATATGCTACAACATGGATGAACCTTGAGGAATTATACTTAATGAAATAAGCCAGTCACAAAAAGACAAATGCTGTATAATTCCACTTATATGTGGTATCCAGATTAGTTGAATTCATTGAAACAAAGCAAAATGGTAGTCGACAGCATCTGGGGAGAGAGGAAATGGGGAGTTGTTGTTTAATGGGTGCAGAGTTTCAGTTTTGCAAAATGAAAAAGTCCTGGAGATTTGTTGTGCAACAACATGAATGTACTCAACTCTACTGAATGCACACTTACAAATGGTTAAGGGCTCTGGCCGTGTAGTTTGGTGATGAGAGTGTTGTTCCAATATGCCAAAGTTGTGAGTGCCAAGGTTATGGGTTCGATCCCCGGTTAAGGCACATACGAGAAGCAACCAATGAATGCATAAACAAGTAGAACAACAAATCCATGTCTCTCTTTCCCATCCTCTTTCACTCTAATCAATAATAATAATAAATAATTAAGATGGTAAGTTTTATGTTCTGTGCATTTTGTCACAAATTTTTTTTCAAAGTAATATATAAACTAGTACCAACTAATAACAACACAAAGAATACACATGTGCTAAGAAGGTGTGGGATAAAGGGATAATTTGATGAGTCAGAAAAGATATGGTGAATTTTAAGGTGCAGACAGTGGAACAGTTTAGAGCTTTAAAACACACACATACAAACACTGATTTCTGCTTTAATAGTGCCAAAGTGTGTACCCAAGTATGTCTGTTTTCTACCGATGGAGTCGGGAAGACAGCAGTCTTGTTCTCGGTGCTCTCCCCAATCCTGATTATTCCTTTCCTCTTCCTACAGGTGTACTGGGTGGGTCCAATCATTGGAGGGGGCCTGGGCAGTCTCCTCTACGACTTTCTCCTCTTCCCCCGGCTCAAGAGTGTTTCGGAAAGATTGTCCATCCTCAAGGGTTCCGGGCCCAACGACTCCAATGGGCAGCCCGCGGGCACGGGGGAACCTGCTGAACTGAAAACCCAGGCCCTGTAAAAGCTTCAGTTGGACGGAGGGAGTAGGAAGCTTCTGGGTTTACATGGAACGGCAAAGCCAGCCCCTGGATGAAGAAAGTGATTGTGGGGAGGGGCATCTACTTCTTTATTTTTTAATCTGTGTGTGAAGTTTTTTTTTCCCGTGTGTGAAATCTTTCGAGTTGCATTCATGAGGTGGTTGGTACAAACTTCCCTTCCTCCCTACTCCACCTCTCTTCCCAGTTTTGTGTGCATGATTGTGGGTGTGAACGTGAGTCAACGTGGCTGTGCCTAAGTTTTGGGGCACAGCAGGAGAAGTTGGAAAAGGAAAAGAGGTATCATTTATACCTTCCTCTCCCAACCCAGTGTGATGAGCACAGGAAACCATGACCTTAAGTTTCTGGCCTTTACCTTTATGCCAGTCAAGGGTACGGTTCTAGGTTTCTGAGGAAGCAGGGAAGCAAGGAGTACACACAGGAGGAAGATGGAAAGAAGTGGAGGACACAAGGTACTCCGAGGGTTGGGAAAAGGGGCTGGGGAAGGAAGAGAAGAAATAGCACCCTGAACCCCAGTTCGGGGTGTAATTGTACCAAAACGCTGTGGGGAAGTTAAGGGAGAGTGTAGGCTTCCTTATCTCAGGGAGGCCTGCCCCAGGGGCTTAAAGCGGGAAGTAGCTCTGAGAAAAGTGAAAACGGGGGTTTGAGCTTTTCTGTAAAGCCACATAAACCTGTCCACATCTACTTGGTGGGTTTTATGTTCGTTCTGGCGTGATGGATGTCTTCAGAGGCCCTGCACCTGTGGGCTGACCAACCAAGGGGTGGGTATGCCTAGAATCTAGATAAATCTAGTAGCTGAACCGTTCTGCTTGATATTCTCATCAGGGCCCCCAGGCAGATGGTAGTTAAGCCCCAGAAGAGCTCCAGGCAAAAACAGAAAATCTGATGCCTGGAACAAAGGCTAAGGTGGAGCTGAGCGGGGAACGGCGGGGAGGGACTTCGACCCCGTGTTTTTATTTAGTTAGAGCAGATCAAAAGACTTCAAATGGCATCTTTCTGCTTTTTTCATTAGTTTTATGGTCTCCTTTATTTTCTTTTTTTGTGTTTCTTTTTTCAACTGTCCTTCCACCTTCATCTCTTTTAACTTTCCTCAAATCCCAGAAATTGATTCCTTCTATTCAAATACTTAATGATTAAGGACATCATTAGTCGTTTGAGCCCTAGCTTTTGTTGTTGGTAAAATACGCTCATTTCAGTTGAGGTCAGAGGAGACCTTCAACCGACCAATGAATATTTATTGTTGATCTCTTCCTTTTAGAAGCCTCCAGTATACTTCGCAAACTTTAAACCTATACATCTCGTATGACACACACCCAGTCCCGCAAAAGGTCACTGTTTCAGTAGCTCAATTACACACACACCCCCGCCCCTGCCCCGGCAAAATAAAGCCGAACTTTTCTAACCAAGTAAGACTTTGGAATAATCCACTTGACTAGGAGGAAGGGTAGAATGTTTGTAAATTCACATCTAATCGGACTTTGATTCCTATTATTTTAAGCCAAAAGAAAATTCACTGCATTGTGACTTTCGGCTCAACGCAGGGGATCGACTCAGATAAAACAGTACTTGTACTCAGTTCCCTTTTCCTTACTTTATCACCACTCCTCCAGCCCGCTGGCGCACGTGGACCAGTCCGGCTCGCTCCGCCCTGTTCCGTACAGAAGTGGAGACCCGGCCCACCGAGCTCGGTGGCGGGAAAACCGGCGGCCCGGCAGCTAAGGGACGCTGGCTCGCCAGGGATCCCGAGGACTAGCAGGGAGCGGGTGAGTGAGTGTGTGGATGAGAAGGCTCTAAGGGAACTATGTCCCTGCGAAGCTATGGGGCACTCTTGGGAGGTGCCGAGTTCCCTTTCCCGCCACCGGGTTTAAAGGCAAAGGGCGGGGCGCGCGCTTTAGGTGCGCCCGCGCAGCTTCCCACCCAGCGCCCTGCGGGGGTTCCGAGGCGGTCCTCCCGCGCCAGGGACTGCAACGCTCCTTCGTTCTCCCCGCGCCACCTGGAGCAGCTTGGTCCTCTGCAGGGGTGGAACTGTGATGGGGAGGGGTTCAGGACCCCGAGAATAGAAAGGGTAGAACAGAAGGTCCGCTTCGGATTGCGCGCCCAGCCCGTTCAGATGTGCAGCTTAGTGGGAGCCGGAATTCACAGGTGTCTCGACTTAAATCATGGGTTTTTGTAATACAGATTTTTTATTCCCTTTCCTGCTTTCGCTGGGGTATAAGACTTAAGGAGAATACAGCCTCTGTGTGGGTTTGTTAACTGGACCACCAGGCACCGTCAGAGGTGCAGGCCTCTGGAACAGCAGATAACTAATTAGATCCTTCCTTTGAGTCTCTCAGTTCTTCACTGTACTCCTCGTGTGGCCAGGAGTTACCTTTATAAAACGTCAATCTGGCCATTCCAGATCAAATTCAAAATTCCTCTTAGGCCACCCAGTCTGGCTTAAGTACCTAGGTGGGGGTGTCCATGGCTTTTCGCAGTCGGGCCCTGACCGTCGCCCCTCAGCCTCATGTTCTAAAGTTCCCTGACGTGCTTCCTGTTTTATGTGCTTGATTCTCAGCCACAGGGAAAGGGTGTAAGAGCATTGTGCTCTTTCATGCCTTGGTCCTTATGGTCCTGATGTTCCCTCTACTTGAAGTTCTGACCACTTCTCTGCCAGATAAACTTCTCTTTCAGGACTGAGCTCAATTGTCCATGTGAAAACCTCTATTTCCAGCTCTCCTGGGCCAAAGTAGTCACTTCTTTGTGTCCTTGAAGTACTGTACCTCCCTTTATTATCAGTGGCACTGGTACAACTCAGTAAAAGCTTCTGGAACTCCTAACATATGCCTTGCACTGTACTGTACTCAGTGTTAAATGGACAGAGATGAATAGGAGAGAGTTCCTGCCTTTAAGGCACTCGGTCTGGAAGGAAAAACACGTGTAAATGAGTCCTCTGCAGTTAGGGGGTGACAGACATGTCTGCCTTGGCCTCCTTCCTCAGCACTCCAAACTCTCTTGAGTAAACTTGTCTACTTCCACAGCTTTACACGCTATTCTGATATATCCTGACACCTCCACATCTTCAGCCCTAATTTCTTCCTCAACTTTGAAACTTGTCTGCTTGGGTTCAGATTAAAAACCATATCTTGAGCATCTGCATTGTGCTGAACACAGTGATTCCTGATCTCCAGGAGTTTGTATCGCAGTGCAGCTGTTGACAGGGGGATTCAATTAGAATCACCTGATCAGCATTTTCAAAACACTGTTATCGAAGCCCTCCCCTCAACCCCTTCCCCCCCACGCCCCTCCGCACCCTGAAATTGTGATTCAGTAACTAGACTCTGAAAATTCAAAGGCAAATAAGAAACAATTCCTGTCCTTAGGGAATCTAAGGCTAATGGAGGGAGACAGATATTTTAAATAGTCTCTTTAAATGTTATGTACAACAGAAGCTTTAATGCCGTTATGGAACTCCATTAAATGGCATGAAGGAGAGATCCATTCTGTCTGGAGAAGTCAGGAGGGAGTGCCGTTTGGGCAGTCTTACAAGATGAGTGGGTCAACTCCAGGGCCAGGCAGAGGAGTATTTTGAGAGAGAAGCTTCAAAGCAGACAGATCTTGAAGGACTTTGTACTGTAAGCATTGGTGGCCAGTGGAACAGTTCTGTGTAGTTGTGCGTGCTAATGATAGACCATTCAAATAGTACTAAGGTGAAAGGCAAATACTTCTGCTGCAGACTCCCCCACCCCAGTCTTTCCAGAGACAGTCACTATGAAGTTTTTTATGTATCCATTGAAGGGTTTTAGACAAGTAGTCTGGTAATTGTATTGTGGGTAGATGGAAGAGAACAAGATTGGAGGCAGGGAAAGCAGGTAGGAAGCAACTGAATAATTTAAGCAAGGGATACTCAGGACCTGAAGTAAGGCAGGCCCCACTGCCTTAGCTCCCGTCCTGAGTAGAGTAGACACTCTCCTATCCGGCCCCTGTGCATCCCCATAGACTGAGTCAATGACCTGAAGTATCTAGGATGACTCCTAGGTTTTTTCTAGGTGAATAACTAAGTAGACAGTGTCAGTCCCTGAAAAATCTGAAACAGAAGTGAAGACAAACTTGCGGGGAAGATGTTTCATTTTGGACATGTGGAGTGTGAGCTTTCTAAGAGACACAGAGGTAGACAGTGCTCCTCATTAGTGTAACATGTGGGATTGGCACCACGGGAGCTCAGAGGGGCAAGAGATACACACAGATTTGCTTGGTAATGGTTCAGAGATGGTAGTGGAAGGTGTGTGTATGGATGAGTTTGCACAAGGACGCTGTGTAAAGTGAGGAAGGGGACTGAAGGTGGAGGCCTCTGGAACAGCAGCTCTTAAAGAGGAGGAGCAGCTAATGTGGAGCCGAGGAAAGGTTTTGCTTTCTGTGAGGTTTTCCATCCCTAAGATGGAAGAGCTTTGAGCAGCTCACGGGGATGGGGCTGTTGACAGAAGAGCCCTGGTTCTTCTTGCTTATGCATGTAAAGAATTGCATATCAGCAAATCTATTAGTGTGCAATCAGTTTATTAGTGATCTGTTCCCATGGAAGAGCGGGGGCCTAGCTGAGATTGGGGGCGGGGGGCAGTGAAAGGCAGAGGTTCAGGGCAAGCAGGGCGGCAAAAATAAGAACAGTTGAAGGCTGGGGTGCCAGTCCCCGGGCGGCCAGAGCGCCCAGTGTGCCAAGAGAGCAAGTCTTTCGTTCTGAGGATGTATATAGTTGGCGGGATGGGAGTAAAATGTTACATATTAATGGGTAAATGTGGTGCCAGCTCTCCTGGGGGGATGTGACTGCCCAGATGTAGGTATGTGTGGGGGTCTGTTAGCCCAAATCCTTACCTTGCTCCAGACCCCATTTGTTCATCTTGTTGTAAAACAGACACGTGACAGGAGGCAGTTAATTAAAGTTGGGGCAGTTACCCACAGTTATTTATGGGCTGCTGCTTTGGGTACTGTGGACCCT